CATATACTTAAACATGGAGAAGTACACTACATACAAAGATGTTAAGCAGAAAAGCATCTCTAGTACATAACAAAATATACAGAACTATCAAATGGAACTATGCTTTCTACAACAGAACGTGTATTACATTGAAAATAACAATCACACATTACACAAAACTTACAACACTTATTCCCTAACATGCAGGGCATAATAGCAAACAAATAAATAAGTAAACAAAATAATATTCAGACAGATAACTGAAAATTAAGACAATGAAGCCAAGGAATAGTACATATTCCTAAAGCAATCTACACCAGACACACAAAGTACTTGCTAAAATTAAAAGAAGTAACAGACATAACAGTGATCAAAACATTAATCCTTTCAAATAAAACAAGATAACATCAATCATAATAAACAAAAATGAGCAATACACTCAAAATAAACAAAATAAATTCATATTTCATAACAAACACACACATATATTCAGCAAATAAAGAAAATATAATGACTAAAACAATACCAAACAGAATTTGATACAAAATAAACAATAAACAAACAAATATTATAATATATAATGAAAAATAGAACTGTGAAATACACTATTTTATTTATCTACAAAATAAAAACAGCAAACATGTATTATGATTGTACAAAGCAATATATTAATCAAATAACATTGCACAACAATAATAAAAACATTATCACAATGATAAAACAATACAAACATACAAATAACATTATAGTTTGTAAAGTTAAAGGACACATTAATTAATAACAAACACAATACACACATATAACAATATTTAATATATCTATTACAAAACAGTAAAACAATACAAATATACTATATGTTTAAAACATAAATAATGTGCCTAAACAGACTTACAAACAGTCAGATAATAAAATAAAACAAATTACAACAAATAAAACCTTAATCAACCTTAATATGAAGTAATCTAACATATTATAAATGATATTACAAATTGTGAACAATACAATGCTTTAATATAAAGGTATAGAACTACTATTAAATGCTTAAAAGGTATGAATACAAAACAAACACAAACAAAGATGATACATAATGAATAGAGGACATTTGTAAGATATACTCACTTTACTAGTCCTAATCCTTAGGAATAGTAACAGAATAGAGTATAGAGGGTAAGACTTGTAAACTTGTAAAGTAAGAGGGTAAAGGAGTCCTGCTTTAGTCAAGCTACAAGTATAGCCTAGTAGGTTGGTAGTAGAGTACTTCCAAGTACTAGGTAACTTAAGTTGATAAAACTATCTTTTGAGGACCAAACTGGCCTCCTTATATACCTTTTGTTAGAGTAATGTTACTCTAGTGACTTTAGTAACTCCCTTCACTGTTGTTCCTATAAAGTGGAGCTAGCTAATCCTTTAGACTGTATGCTACACTGGTTTGTGTCTTCTATTAATCTGCTAACACTAGTTTGTGTCTTCTTGTATTCTAGATTAATCTTCTAATGACTCCTTTACTGTATTATTATGTCTTCTATACTTCCTCTCATACTTCTAATGACTCCTTATGAGTCCTCCTGACTAGTTATACTGTGTAAGCTGTGTAATGCTTTTCCCATGAAGTGGAGCTCTCTATTGTTCTTATGACTCTGTCTGACTTGACCTATACTTTCTGTATACTAGTTAGTAATATACTTTCTCATAAGGTGGAGTATTATGACTTCTAATGACTCCTTATAACTCTTGTAATATAAAAGGCTGTGCTTCTGTACTACCCTTAG